TAAAAATAAATTTAAATAAATTTTGAAATTTTTTAAAACTTTAATATTTGTTTAATATAAATTATACAATGTACTATTTAATATTCTTCATAAAATTCTTTAAAATTTTGAAAATAAGTTTAAATAAAATTGTATAACTTTAACACGTTTAAAACATTTAATATAAATTACACAATTTGATATTACACAATTCAATAGATAAATATATATGTTCAAATAAAAATGAACTTGCGAGGGGAGAAGACAGTCTGTAAGAATAAACACAAATCATCAGGAAAATGCTGAGGAGAAGAACTGACGGGACCACAGATTAAAACGTAATTAAGCTAGATTACGTAAAATGGTTTGGTGCCAGGATAGACACGGGCCTCTGGACGGAACAGAACTGAAATCCCAGAAGTAGACCCACATATACGTGTGAATTTAACATGTGACCAAAGGAGCATGTTTAAATGGCAAATAACTGACATCACTGGCTAGGGGCTCAGCCCCGAATCACCACGTCCAGGAGAAACCACAGTGGGAAGGTTAAACCACAACAGAAACAGGAGCCAATACGGGTAAATATTTATGTGAACTTGGAGAGAAGGAAGGCCTTCCTAACCATACCACTTTTCTGTGTAAAAACTATAAAATTTAAAAGAAACAGAACACCTGCTAGACTTGACTACATATAATTTTACCACCTGCCAATAATCACAGTGTAAGATAATAAACTATGGAGGGTGCCAGGCAGGTGAGTTTACTGTGCCCACTTGACAGATGGGACAACTGAGGGTCGCAGAGGAGATGTGGTCCACGCGTGGCCACCCCAGCTGCTTCTCTTCCTGGGCTCTGCCCCTCACAGGCCCAGGCAGAACAGCCCGAAGATCCTGGTCCCCACAGTCAGCGGTGATGGGGCCCAATCCCGGCTCAGCCGCTCAGGGGCTGCACACGAGTGTGGGCCAGCCTAGGTGTCTTGAACGGGACATCACATGCATCTCCAGGGGCAAGGAAGGAAGATCCTGCGGGTAGGCCTCCTGCCCTTCGTAAGGGCTCGGAACCTGTGCGGGGGAGGAACCTTGGCTGCCCCTTTAGGTCTCTTGTGCGGACAAGCCGTTTAGAACGTGCGAACACCAAAGGGTTGGAAGTCCTGAGCCTCAGCTCTGCCTCCACAGCCAGAGATGTTATCATCACAGATTTAATTTAGCGACTGGGTACTTACTATGTCCCAGGCACCACATTCCCTCTCTGTAGGTCTTCCTATTGAATCCTTAAAACACACAGGGAGGCCGACGCAGGGAGGGGACGTGGGGAGGGGCTGACACGGCCATCGAGAGAGAGAGAGAGAGAGAGAGAGAGAGAGAGAGAGACAGAGAGAGAGAGAGAGAGAGAGACTCCCGGCCAGCCGGGTGGGACTTACCATTGAAAGGAGGACCAGGGCGGGGAAGAAGCCCATGATGACATAGCAGAGCAGCTCCACCAGCTTGTACCTGGCAGGAAGACAAGCCATCTGGGCCTCGGGACAGCCTCCCCATGAGGAACGGCATACAGCTCCCCGCTCTGGGTAGGAGGGGACACCCCAACCAAAAGCATGAGAAGAGCTCCACCCTCTGCCCAGCGCTCCTGGGCTCTGACTTCACCCAGGTACCTGCAGCAGGCACTGGCAGAGCTGGGTGGCCCTGGGCGGGTGTCCTTCCCTCGGGGACTTGGTCTCCATGGGTGGCATGACAGGCCACAGCTGTCCCTGCTGCTGAGTACAGCACGCATGCGGGCCCTTGCCTCGCTTGGGCCGGGGCCGTCATGACTGTGTGATCCCAGCACCTTCTCCCCAGGGGCCCAGGCAGCCGCCCTCTGTCCCATCCGAGCGGCTGCACGGGCTGACATCAATTTGCCCTCCCTGGAGATTCCAGAAGTCAGTTATTCCCCTTTGCTTCTATAGCTCTGTTTCTTTCCTCACTCGGTGGGACGGAAGTGAAGAGAGTCTGGAGCCTCTCCCCTCATCTGACAACCCAGCTTAGGGAAGGTGGGTAACACGTGACCCACAAGGTCTCTTTTTAAAACCTCTTCAGGGGGCGCCTGGGTGGCTCAGAAGTTAAGCGTCTGCCTTCGGCTCAGGTCACGATCCCAGGGTCCTGGGATCGAGCCCCGCATCGGGCTCTCTGCTCGGCCAGGAACCTGCTTCTCCCTCTCCCACGCCCCCTGCTTGTGTTCCCTCTCTCGCTATGTCTCTCTCTGTCAAATAAATAAATAAAATCTTTAAAAAAAAATAAAATAAAATAAATAAAACCTCTTCAGATCGACCTTATGGGCCGTGGCTCTGGTGGCCATCCATGGGCCTGAGCCCTGGGATGCCAGGCAGAGCTGTACCCTCATGCTTCGGGGTCATCCTGGGGTCTCATCTCCCCAAGGGCAGAGAGGAGGCCCAGCCTACCTGAGCCCCGAGCCCCCCCCACCCAGCCTTGGCTTACCGCTCATGGAAGAAGAAGACGTAGATGGTGCCCACCGAGGCCATGATCCAGACCAGCCAACGCATGTGGGAGGCCCAGGGGCCCAGCTCCCGAAGGTTCAGCCTGAGAGAAAGCCAAGGGCACAGGCTGAGGGGGGCCCCCTGGGACCCAGCCCCTCCCAGGAAGACTGACCCCAGAGCAGCCCTGTGCCCCACAGCTCTGCAGGTGGGATGTGGGCTCTCGGGGTGGAGAGACAGACAGAGAAACTGACTGGAACAATAAGCAATGATTAGAGGAAAATTAGCAAAACGGACACCGTCCGAGCACAAAGACAAAGGGCATCTCAAATGGGCAGGAGTGTAAAGCCTGTGTGAGGGCAATCGGGCCGAATCTATCAAACCCGAGGTGCGCATGTCCAGTGACCCCGTCACTCCAGCCCCAGGGGTTAGCCAAAGAAATGCGGTCTCATCCACGCACAGAGGCACAGAAGAGGACATTCATCACAGCACCGGTCCAACAGGACCCACAGGAAAGCACCCAACTATCTACCAGAAGGGAAAGGTGATATAAGGATGATATCCGTCTGTGCTGGTTATCAATATACTGCCTCTCGGCTCTGAATTCACCCTTCCTGCCTGCTCCAAGCTACCGGAGCTGGGCCGCGTGCCTTCTTCCTTCCCACCAGGCGCGACGTTAAGCTTTGTCAGGGGAGGGCAGTGAAGAGACGCTGCGGGAGGAAAGGCTCTTCTTTCCTGGCGCCCGCGGTTCTCCCACCAGGTTCTGAGAGCAGGCTTCTCTCTCTGCCGCGGGGCTGAGGTGGTTTCCCCGGGGCAGGTGCCTGCAGGGCGCGGCTTTCTCCAGCATTTGGCCACAGTGTGATCTCTAGCTGTGGATGCAGGGGACAGTGGTGGTACAGAGGATAAGGCAGGCCTGTGCCTCAGGCCAGACAGCTGCTCCTGCACCCCCTCTTCAGCCCCACACACCTGCACACTGGCGGCCCCCCGTGGGGACCCCTGTCCGGCAAGCTGCCTGACCTCCACCCTGTACCACTATCTGCCCTGAAATGCTCGGGGTTCCTGCAGGGGCCTCTCAGCGGCTGGCTCCAGGAGCGCCCAGCAACCAGCAGCTTCCCCGGCACAGAACAAGGGGTAAAGCTCGGGGCCTCCAGTGGCCAGCCTCCCCCAGCACCCCCAGAGGGCTGATTTCCAGCAAGCCACACCCATGGCCCCCTCCAGCAGCCTCTCTGTCATCCCGTGGGCAAAGGCCAGGCCCTTTCGGACGACGGGGGAACTCTGCCCTGGATGGAGTGGGGCTGGTCATAGCTGTCCCTTCTATCTGCCACTATGGGCTTCCCTAGATTTGTCTTTGACGCTCATTAATCAATTCTCCCCTTCCCCGATCTCCTATGATCAATCCTTTATACCAGCTGTTCCGTGTTCAAATCATTGTATGGTTTCTGTCCCCCAACCGCACCCTGCCGGATACACCATCCTGTGGCATGGGCGTAGCAGCTTGGAAAACAGAACAATCCGGACTTTGGTGCAGACATCTCCCAGACATGTTGCTGTGTGTGGTGGTGGGGAGTGAGGGGAGAGTAACGGTACTGTATTATTTGCACACGTGAAGAGAGATGTGTACATGCGCAGCACACCGATCGGAGCCCCCCTGTCGAGTGGGTAGTGGGAGTTCCATCTAGAAAGGGACAGTTGATGATGGCGGTGCTTGAGGGGAGGGATCCTTTCTCACTTTTTTCCGGAGTGAATTTCTTGAATGAGACCACCTTATATGCAACCTCTGCCCACCCCGTGTCCCCCAAAAAGCAATCGGCTCTGAGTCCAATTGTTATTATAAAGAAGTTAATTTATACTGGAAAGCTTAAAGGTAGAAAAAAATAATCCGACTCATTACCCGGAAGAACCATCAGTGAAGATCATTCTGAAGAGCTCTCCAAACAGACACAAAATAGGCCAATGGGAAGGAGGATGAGTATAAAATGGGATGTGGGGGGAGGGGTAAGGGGAGGGAGTCTCGAACTACACAGGTCATTTCTTACTAAAATATCACACTGAATTTCAACTTGACTTTAACAGAAGAAAATGAACACATTCCCCCCCCAAAAAAGTGTGCTGAATTTCAAATATTTCTGCTCCTCTCTTTCTACTATGCCAGAGGCTTTCAAGCATCTTTTACACCCTTTAAGTAAAGACTGTATGCAGGAATCTCACGTGTAAGTCTAATCTATCAAAAACAAACATCAAAAAAAAATGGGGTTTTCTGATTGAGGCAAGGATGGAGGAACCCACGGTCATTCACGCCCCCCCATCCATGGTCCTCTGGGAACCTCGGGGGCTCTGCAGAAAATGGCATGAAAACCAGAGCCATTCAAAGAAAAATACCCACCAAATGATTCTATACCACCTTGTCCCATGTACCCCTTTCCCGCGCACCCAAGCGCCCAGCTGGGAAACTTGGTCACCAAGCTCCTCCGTCTCTCTACCTCCTCCCGCACATCCGATCAACCCCCACGTTCGGCCAACCCTCTTCCTCCTAAAAAGGCTCGCAAACCAGGACATGTCACCTGCACCCCTCGTTCACAGTTGTGGCTCATTCCCGTGTCAGTACAACATCTGTGCTCCCTGTGGGACCCTAAGTCCCATGAGGAGAGAGTGTCTGTACCTCTCCATCAGTCACAGCTGGGGATAAAGACTAGAAACCCAGCCGATAAATCAAGAGAGGGGACGATAGTCAGGGGATTGTTTTAGAAATCCACGTCAAAGAGAGTTACTGCAGCTGAGCACAAAACTTGACTTGATTATACTTGGCCGCATCCAAAAGGAAACCTGAGATGACCTGGCCCCTGGCAACTGCAGGTGATGCCTAGGGCCCACCTGGGGCCGACCACAAGTGGCCACGTGGAAGGGGCTCCCTCCCATGGCTCCTGGTTTCACTCTCCTGCTCCTGGCCTGCTCCAGTGGCCTCCCCACAACCCACTCACCCAGGACCTGTGCTTATTCTAGAAGCCTCCATACATATGCCTGCCGACTTGGCATCTGACGGCCAGAAGCGTACCAGTTTTGGGAAGAGAAGCGAGTCCCCTTCTCTCCCAAAGCCCAGCTGGGCATGGGGCTTGCATCTGCCTGCAACCCCAGGGAGGACCCGGCAGCGGGGCTGGTTTCAGGGGGGAGGCTGGCCCAAGAAACCTGGCACCCCTCACCCCCTCCCACCGTCCATGAGTCAGTCTACTCAGCTGTCTGCAAGTGTCTTTTCGATCTGTCACTCTTCTCCCTTGACTCCCATGGGCACTCCTGGGGTCCAGGCCACCACCGCTGCTCCCCTAGGTCCTGGGCCAGGCTGTCCTCACACCTCCCTGCTCCCGTCGGCCCAAACACTAAAACCACGTCAATATCCTGCTTTGAAGCCCCATCACCCCTAAAAACAGACCAAACAGCCTCCCATCTATACTCCGTTTGCCCCTACCCTTGTATGAGATGTGGGCACCATGCCAAGCCTGCCACAGGAGCGTGGACACCCGAGCTGTGGTCACGCGGGCCCTGTCCAGCCGGGAGGATGGGTGACTCCCTGGGTTTCTCCAGACGTATGCTGTGTGGAAGAAGCAAGAATCCAAAAGAATGGGGACTCCACTAACACAAAAGAAGAAATCAGGCCTGTCATATCTCAGAGCTGGGGTTACCTTGAGAGAAAGGGGCTGGACATGTTCTGCTTCTTCATCTGGGTGCTGGCCGCTGTGTGTGAAAATTCACAGGGATGTACATTTATGACCGTGCATGCTCTCCAGGTATGGCACACCTCCACGAAACATATTTAAAAAGCAATCGTGGGGTGCCTGGGTGGCTCAGTCGTTAAGCGTCTGCCTTCAGCTCAGGTCATGATCTCGGGGTCCTGGGATCGAGCCCCGCATCGGGCTCCCTGCTCAGCGGGAGGCCTGCTTCTCCCTCTCCCACTCCCCCTGCTTGTGTTCCCTCTCTCGCTGTGTCTCTCTGTCAAATAAATAAAATTTAAAAAAAAAAGAGCAATCACCTTCGCATATACAAATAAAACCCGTTTATTAGCAGATATAATGAAAGAGAAGGCCCCACTTGTGATGGCCAAAAACAGAAATTTCCTGGGCAAAAACGGAACAAACCTTCCCATGGCCCGCTACTCTTCAGAAGCACACATGTGGGTCCTCAGAGCAGGACCCCTCCTCCAGGCAGCCCTCCAGAGGCCCCCACGCCACAGCAGTGCCTCCTCTGAGCTCCCGTGGCTGCATGCACACAGGCCGGTCTCACCATGCCACCACTGTCCCATCACAGATGCCCTTCGAGCGGCCAGACCCTCGGGGTCCCAACCCCCAGCACCGCCCGCCTGGCCACGCATTCCCCAAACGTGAGCTCAACAGCTCTGTGGGCTTTTAGAATGTGGCCTGAAGCTGAGTGTTTCCTTATTCCAGAACTTTCTAGATTACTAAATCAAGTTGGAAAACTCCAGGTCACTTGCTGGGGGGGGGGGGCGGTTAAAACCAATATACTGTGTGGTGATCCGGCAACAGTTAACCAAATTAGAAGGCCCACTCCCTGCCGCCCAGAAATCCAAGTCTCGAATTTATGCCACAAAGATCAGGTTCCACCACATGAAACTACTATTTCTGGAGGTCAGAAAAGGCCACCTCTTAGCAACTTCATATGATTCGAGACAACATATCCACACACGGGTGCTAAATGATACACAAACAAGGAGATTCACTGCGGCCCGGTGTCTCCTAGCCAAGGGACGGAGCGCCCCAATGCCAGAAATGTCCATAAACAGGACGGCCAGGAAATGTTATGCTGTGATAGAAAAAAGACTGGGGAAATCTTCAATGTACTAAAATACAGAGAGGTGCCCCCAGCGACATTACCAAGAGAACAAAAGCAAATTGCAGTTTGTATAGTACCCTTCCTTTTGTATTAGAAGCAGGAGGAAAAATATGAATACCGATGCATTTACAATATTCTGGGCACACACTTTGGCTTTTTTTGCACAAAATAACTCCGGCAAGAGACACAAGAGTTGTAAGTAGTTGCAGAAGGAGAATGGACAGAGGGCGTCTTTTTACCTACACTCTTTTGTGCCGAGTCAGTCAACAGATTACCCCACCAAATAGAAGAAGACATTCAGGGAGAGGAAGCCAGTCTCCCCCACCCCCCCACCAGGGACTGCGCAGAGGTACTCACCAGGGCGCGTAGGATGCCGCTATGAAGAAGTAGATGACCATGCGGTCGAACATGTGCAGGCAATGCTCCACCATCCTGGGACAGAGAAGGGGTATGGGAAGGGTCAGGGGTAGGGCCCCAGGGCCACACCTCCCCACCCGCAGGTGCGGAGGGGCCTGGGCTCGGGGCTGACGGGCCTTCACCCCAGCCACCAACCCTTGGGCTTCAGGCTCCCCATCTGGAAGTGCCCAGAGCAGTGGTTTTCAAACCAGGCTCCCCATCCCCCTGGGGGTTCAATGGGGGACACCCCACAGGTTTCACTGAGGACCCCCTTCTCCCTGAAAGGTGAAGGTCTGACACCCACACTCTGCATTTTGGCTTTATACACTGGGAGTTTCCAAAGAATTCAAATGATGAAATACTTTGGTGACTAAAAAAAAGTACAAAACCAATGAACCTATGTGCCCCCGCTAAAGAGCCTCTGGGTCCCGGCATTCTGGTTCAGGTCCAAGTCTGGAGCCCAGAAGGCCTGAGTTCAAATGCCAACCTTACCACTTACAGACTGTATAACCTTGAACCAGCTCCTTACCATCTCTCGGCCTCAGCTCTGATCTGTCAAGTGGGGAGGGTACCAGCAGCCTATCACAGGGTGACCGTGAGGTTTAAGTGCATTGGTACTTAGCACTGTGCGTATCAGGAAGTGCTCAATAAACATTCGCTGTTTTTGTTGTGACCTCATGTTGAGTAGCAAACGGCCGCCCTCAATATGTTTGCCCAGTGTGGTAGCCGACCTCCACAATGGTACCCAAAGAGCCCCACTTTCTGGTATTCACACCCATGCATAGCCCCCTCCCACGATGAATAAGGCAAACACATGTAACCAACAGAGGGCTGCAGAAATGATGGTGAGTGATTTCTGAGGCTCGATCATAAACGATATTAGAACAAACCTCTGCCTTGTTCTCTTGGAACACTAACTTTGGGAGAAATGAGCCATGTCTGTGGAGAGGTCCATTTGGGAAGCACAGAGCACCTGGTAAAACATCCAGTACCAACTTGCCAGCTATGTGAGGGAGCCCCCTTGGAAGTGGCCTCTCCAGCCCCAGTCAAGCCTTCAGATGGCAGCGGCCCCGGCCCAGCATCTTGGTTACACCAGAGATCATAAACCAGAACCATACAGTTAATTAAGCTCCTGAATTCCTGATTCTCAGAAGCCTTGAGAGGTAATCAAGGTTTCCCGTTATTTAAAACCTCTGTGACTGGGGCCCCTGGGTGGCTCAGTGGGTTGAGCATCTGCCTTTGGCTCAGGTCATGATCTTGGAGTCCTGGGACTGAGCCCCGCGTCAGGCTCCCTGCTTTGTGGGGAGCCTGCTTCTCCCTCTGCCTCTGCCTCTCCCCCGGCTTGTTTTCTCTCTGTCTCTCACTCACACTCTCTCTCAAACAAATAAATAAAATCTCCAAAAAAATAAATAAATAAAACCTCTGTGACTGAGCGTAATGTATTACAGAGCAATAGATACTTAATGCAAACTGATTCTGCCCAGCAAACTCCAGCCCTCAGTAAAACTGACCAGGGATCCTACGTATGGTGTAACCACATGTCCTCCTAGAAATGAAAGTGCCAACAGCAGTTAGCATGTTTACAGCGTGGGCCATAAGCAGAGCACCGGCCTAAGCAACTTACGACTTTTTAACCCCACCTAAAAGACAGGTGCTGTTTTTTTTTCATCCACTATGTAACAGGTGAGGACAGGAAAGACCAGCACAGGCCCACCGCTGGTTAAGCCGGCGCTAAACCCCATGACTGGTTTCTTAGTAAGAAAAAGGGGGGCAAGATCTGGACAAAGAGACACATGGGAGGAAGGCCGTGTGAAGACACAGGCAGCCTGGAGAAGCAGCTAGAAGCCAAGGAGCTGGATGAGGCCAGATCCTCCCCTAGAGACTTTGGAGGGAGGATGGCCCCACTGACACCTGGATCTCGGCCTTCTGGCCCCCTAAACTATGAGAGAAAGGATTCTGTTGTTTCCAGCCACCCAGACTGGGGTCATTTGCTATGGCAGCCACAAGAAACTCCTACAGCGGAGTGGAACCAAGACCCACAGAGAGGGTAAGAATGGGAAACAGGAATGGGGGCTACAGCCAAGTCACGGGGCCCCTGGGGGAGGGGAGGGGGGTGCTGAAGCTGGAGACGAGGGGTCCCTGCCACTGCTGCAATGGGGCCAGGGCATCCCGCAATGTACAGGGCCCGGGATCAGCTCTGGCTCAGATATGACCAGCTTGGTGATCTTGAGCAAGACCCATCGCCTTCTGAATCTCAGTGTCATCACGCACAAGCCGGGGGTTCCACATGCTGCAACGGGGACCAGCCCCGAAACCTCACGCTGAGTGAGAGAAGCCAGTCACAAAAGGTGGAAACAACCCAAGGATCCATCCACGCATGAACGGATGCACAACATGTGCATTACAATGGAAGATACTCGTTGAATGCCTTGAAAGGGACGTTCTGAGAGGCGCTACAAACTGGATGGAGCACACTGTGCCAAATGAGAGAAGCCAGTCACAAAAGGACACATACCGTACGACTGCCTTGCGTGAGGTCCCTAGGAAATAGGATGGTGGGTGTCGGGGGCTGGGAAGGGGATGGGGAGCGAGTGCTCAAGGGGCACGGAGCTTCAGTTCAGGAAGATGAAGAAAGTTCTGGAGATGGACAGTGGTGTTGGCACAACAGTGTGAATGTGCTTAATGCCCCTGAACTGGACGCTTAAGACTGACGAAGAGAGTCAATTTACGTTATGGGTATTTACCACAGTGTTTTTAAAAATTAAAAGCAAAGCAAAAATTTAGGATCGAGTCCCACATCGGGCTCCCTGCTCGGCGGGGAGTCTGCTTCTCCCTCTGACCCCCTTCCCCCTCGTGCTTTCTGTCCCTCATTCTCTCTCTCTCTGAAATAAATAAATAAAATCTTTAAAAAAAAAAAAATTAAAAGCAAAGCAAAAATTTAAAAATCCAAGACTAATGCCTATACCACAGAATTATTGAAAAGATCAAGGTGTGACGTCTGTCCAGGGCCTAGACCCGGAGAGGTCATTCTGATGGTTACGATGGTTAGGAGGGTCCCTCGTAACAACACCGGGAGCTGGGGGCTTGCTCTCTGGGCATCTCGGAGGTGAGCAAACGAGGCTCATGTGGGTGAGGTGGTCTGCTAAGGTGGGACTTAATCCTGGCCGGCCGGCCGAGGCAAAGACGGCGTGAAGGTCACCACCCTGGTCACCCCGCCCAACCCCCGCCCCACCCGTGGGCTAGGCAGAGGCACCTGAGGTGGCTCTTCTTCCAGGAGATGGTGTGGAACACGGTGGACACCACGAAGAGCCCACAGAGGCCGAGGCCATAAATCCAAGCAGAGATGGTCTCCCAGTCGTCGTCGGACAGGAAGTAGAGGTTGGAGCTGCCGAGGATGCTGGGGATGATCCAGAGCTGGAAGCAGAGCGGGGACAGGTCCTGCTGGGCCAGCCTTCAGCGTGGGGTCCAGGGATGTACGGAGTCCCTGAGCTTCCCCGAGCATGCCACGCACTCTCTTCTCCAGACCCGCACCGTCCAACAGACCCTCCCTCCTTGGTGGAGGGTCCTAGACCTGCCCCATCCAACATGGGAGCCGCTAGGCACCTGTGACTACCGAGCACCTGAATCGTGACAGTGGCAATAAGGTGCTGACGTTTTTTATTTTATGTCATTTTAATTGATTTTAGTTTCAATTTCAGCAGCCCCACGGAGCCAGTGGCCACCCTGTCGGGCAGCACGGCTCTGGAGAAGGTCGTGGTAAACACAACGGCTCCCCACCTCAAGGAGCATCACCGGTCACCGCCCCCACAGCCAGCCTCGCGGTCCCCGAGCACGCCACGCCGCCTCACACCTGTGCACACGTACTTAGCACCTTCTGGAGAAAGTAGCCCTCCCCACCAGGTCCACCTGGAAAACCCTTCGCTCTTCACGCCTTGGTTCATCCATCATTTCCCCAGAGAAGGCTAGAACTCTCCAAAGCACAGGGGGCAGGGGGGGGTCCCTGAAAGTGCACCCAGTTCTGTGTGTTGGGAACACTTTTTCAGGAGAAAGGGTTTATGGCAGCCCCAGCCAGGAGAACTATTAACGCGAGTCGCCCAGGTCATTTTGGGACCCACGTTTTTAAAGGGAAAAACAAACAGGTAAAATTAATGTTAATACTACATTTTGGGGCGCCTGGGTGGCTCAGTCGGTTGAGCGACTGCCTTCGGCTCAGGTCATGATCCTGGAGTCCCGGGATCGAGTCCCGCGTCGGGCTCCCTGCTCGGCGGGGAGTCTGCTTCTCCCTCGGACCCTCCCCCCTCTCGTGTGCTCTCTCTCTCTCACTCTCTCAAATAAATAAAAAATCTTAAAAAAAAAAATACTACATTTTGTTCAGCCCGATATATCCAAAATGCCACGTAATATACATAAACATATTAAGGAGCTACTTTACATCCTGTTTTGCATGCTAAGCCTTCCCAAGTTGGCAGCATATCTCCAACAGATGAGCTGCATTTCAAGGGTGCAAAAGCCACACGGGGCCAGTGGCTACCAAACCGGACAATGCAGGACTCAGTCTTCCGTTATTCCCAAAGGGGCCTACTGCCCAGAGAAAGATCGCTTAGGCGAGGCTGGGGTGGTGTCAGGAAGGACTCCAGGGCGCTGGAACCTGGGTAGCAGGAAAGGTGGACCAACTTATGAACTAAGGCCTGCCTGGGAGCTTGCTAGAGTCCAGAGGCTGTACCAGGTACCAGGGAGCCAGCAAGGTTCACAGAGCAAAAGAGAGGCATCCTCAGCACCACAGTCCAATGTTCCCAAATGGCCTTCCCTCCAGATCCCAGTCACTCTTCCAAGGGCCACAGAGGACTTGTCCGTTGGGGCATCACCGTGGAAAAGAGATGCTGACGCTCTCCAAGGGTGAAGAGCCGGCCTTCCCTCCCACCTGAAAGTGTCCCCCTCTCGGCCCCCCAAAAGCCAACTCACAGCATGGGTGGCACAGTTGGCTGCATGCTCGTACTCGGTGGGCTGGTACCTCTTGTGGGCGGGGACTCGGTGGTTCATGAACCTGGAATGAGAGGCATAATTCCTGGAAGCTGAGCCAGGAAGCCGGGAGCAGCTGGGTTCACAGGATTCCCAGAAGACCTGAAGATCGGGTCCCTCCTGGTGGGGGGGGGGAATCCCCCCCCCCCCCCCCCTCCTCTCCTTCCCCTCCCCCCTCCAGAGTCCCACTCCCCTCCTCTCTCCCCGCCCACTCCTCCCTCTCCCCCTTTCTAGTACACTCTTTTTGGACTAGCCAGTATTTTGTGCCTGATCCCCAACGTGGTACTTGTTACCGAACTTTGCTAAATACGGCATTCTCCCCATTTCGTGTTTCTCATTTTCCTTCCGTCTGACATAGAGTACGGCTCCCTGCGGGTACAGCCTGACCCTCTGACCCGTGCACCCACCCACATAACCACCACGCGGGAGGGGCCTGAGCTCACTTCCTCCCGCCCCCCAGGAGGACCCGCAGCCCCCTCCCAGGGACTCTTCCTTCAAGGAAACCACTTCTGACTCTGTCATCATTGATTAGTTTGGCCTGATCTTGGACTTCCCATCAGTGGGATCACGCAGCACAAACCCTTCTTTGTCCACATTCTTTGGTTCCACGTGACTTTGGGGAGATTCATTCATGTTGTCGGATGCAGGGATTTGCTGTTTTCACTGCCGGGCGGAATTCTATACACAATGTATGCATCCAGTCTCCTGGAGGTGGACAGCCCGGTTTGGGGCCACCAGGGAGAACTCTGTCCAAAAGCATCCGTGCGCACATCTTTGGTGACCATCGCACTATATTTCTGCTGGGCGTAGGTCCACGTGTGGAACCATCAGTGGACTGTATCCGGAGCAATACGCATTCCTGGTGTTCCAGAGTCTTTGGGAAACTCCACGCCTCGTGCCCTCCAGTCTCTCCTTTGATCCGCACTGGAGCCCCGATGGAGTCTCCCCCCACCCAATTTTGCAGAAGGGAAGCTACAGGGTAGAGTGTAGGAAGCATTTAGTGAGCAGTTTCTATATGCTGGTACCACACCAGGACAGATCACAGAGCATTCACTGAGTACCTTCCGTGTGCTGGATCTGTGCCAATAAAGTTCACAGAGCATTTATGGAACGCCTTCTGTATGCTGGATCCGTGTTAAGTGTACTTCACTGAGGATTTGTGAGCACCTCCTCTATGCTGGATCTGTGCCATAGAGTTCATAGAGCATTTGTTAAGCACCTTCTGTATGCTGGTTTTACACTGAGAACTAGGGATGGTGCATTGGGGTGACCTGGCCTTGCCCTCAAGAAGCTCACAATCCAGAAGGCATCGAATCCAAGCAGAAATCCCAATACAATACCATGTGATTAGTGCTCCTCATCCTTCCGGAAAACATTCAGGAGCACCTACTATGTGCTGGCTGGAGTTGAGAGGAGGGACACAGCAGAGCGTGAGGGCTTCCAAGAAGGGACAGGCTCCCCAAGGCACAGGCACACCCTGATGTCCGAGTGCCTGGCAGAGCACCCGGCTCCAGAGCGGGCACCGGCAGACAGGTGTCGAGGGATAAATGAGTTTACCAGATGAAAAGAGAAGTAGGAGAGGGAAGGGTGCCCCTGGCCCAGGGAGCAGCAGATGAGAGTGTGCGGAGCACACGGCAAGCGGCCCAGTGCGTGCAGGGCAGTGTTATGAGCTGAACTGTGTCTTCCCGAAATTCCTATGCAGATGTCCTAACCAGTACCTCAGAAAGTGACCTCATCTGGGAACACAGCTGTTGCAGATGTCCTCAGTTAACATGAGTTCCCACCGGGGTAGGGCGAGCCCCCAATCTGCTATGACTAGGATGCTTATGGGAAAAGGAGAGCCACAGAGCCGAAGCCCACGAGACAATGGAGACGCAGACTCCACAGTGATGTGACCACGAGCCAAGGGACACCTAGGGCTGCTGAAACCGCCAGAGGCTGGGAGACAGGCACAGAAGCTTCTCCTTCAGAGCCTCCAGAAGGAATCAAACCTGCCATCACCTCAGTTTTGGACTTCCGGCTTCCAGAGCTGAGAGACCAAATTTTTGTTATTTTGAGTCACAAAGTGTATGGTCGCTTGTTACTGTAGCCCTGGAAACACTAACACAGGTACGTGCAGTGTTCATTTTGATAGATCCTGCCCAAAAGCCCCCAAAGGGGCTGTGCCAACAGGACTGGGTGGGGGAACAGGTGCCAACTGCGCAGGGACACGGCTGACGCCTTTCTCCAAGGTGGGAAACCAAGTCTGGGGCTGAGGGAGTTCTTGTCCACCTGCCATCAGGCACGGCCCGGCTGCCCTCTCCTCTGCTCCCTTAACGAACACAAATAAGCCACCCATGGTACCAGCCTCACGGGTCCAAGGGCAATGTCGCGTTGCTGTGGCGACCCACGATGGGCAGTTCTTTATTTGTTTCTGGGTTCCACAAAACCCTCCTTGTCTCTGCCCCATGCTGCAGCCGCTGAACAGAAGAAAGGCTGGCCGAGAAAAAGGCCGGGAGACCAGGCCCCGGGGCCGGGGGCAAACGCCCAAGAAACAGAGTTCCCACAACCCTCCAGAACCAAGAACTTTTTCTTTACCTCCCTGTGGCCTACTTTCTTTCTTTGGAGCCTCTAGGCAGACATTTCTTAAGAGGACAATGAATTGTTTTATTTAGGTTTTCACCTTTCCTTTGCATTTACATACAGTATAATTTTTTTCTTTTTTTGGCTACCCAGTTTTATGAGCCTGGGTAAATGAAGACTGCCATGTCACCACCACCACAACCAAGATAAATAACAAATCCTTCATCCTCCCCAAATGCCCGCACACGCTGGGCCCCCGATACCCGTCCCCAGGCACGTAACCACCACCCTCTTCTCTGCCCCTACAGCTTTGCCTTTCCAAAATGTCGCGTAAATGCAGTCACAGGGTTGGCCTGCAGTGTTTTTGTTTTGGGTTTTTTTTTAATGTCTAAAAAGAATTTATTTTATAAAGTCAAAGTGCATTCTTGGGTGGAAAGAAACTGCTCTGAATGCCAAGCAGGGATCTACTTAGTTCTATTTAAAATGCATCTAAGACAAACTTGTTTTATACAAGGAGAAAATGGGCCTTCCTAAATCACACATTACTGTCTTGGCGATTATGCTCAACACTTCCATCCTTTTTTTTTTTTTTTGCTGCATAGCCTTTTGAGTTTGGCTTTTTTTACTGGGCATCACGCATGTGAGGTCCATCCGTGTTGTTGCCGTGTTCCAATGGCTCCTTCCTTTTTACTGCTAAGCGCTATTCCATTGTCTGGATGTACAATGGCTTGTTTATCCATTCCCCAGTAGAGAGATAACAGAGTCATTTTTAACAGATGAAACATATAGATAAAATTTAGAATGTTCTAGAACAGAGCTGACAGTCAAGGAGCAGCCTTCAAGATTGTGGGAAGTTTCTCTTCAAAGAGTTGGTATTTCCAGCAGGCTGTCACTAGCTAAACTAAAGGAGGGAAGTGGGCCTTTCTGCCTCCCCTCTGGAGAACAGAATCACCATTCCGCGGCCAGCCATCTGCTTAGATGACCGTGGGGCCATGGCATTTGTGGGGGATGGGGAGGGCAACGCCATGCGGAGAGCTCCCAAAAGGAGTCAGGATCCAGAGTCCAAGCCAGCAGGGAGGCAAGGACAGAGGCTGAATTCCCATCCTGAACAGGATGGAGCAGGGGCTTTGGATCTGGGCACAGCTGCATGGAAAATCTCTGCAGTGTCACTTAGGTGCTGTGAGACCTAGGAGAAATTACTTCCCGTCTCTGGGCTGCAGCTTCCTTGTATGTAAAAGGAGATACTACTACCAACCCTACCATGAGATGATATGTCTCAAGAGTGCGGTGCCTGGGTGGCTCAGTCAGTTAAGCATCTGGCTCTTGATTTTGGCTCAGGTCATGATCTCATGGGTTGTGGGATCAAGCCATGTCAGGCTTTGAGCTCAGTGGGGAGTCTGCTTCTCTCTCTCTCTCTCTCCCTCTCCCTCTGCCCCTCCCCCTGCTCATGCTCTCTCTCTCTCTAACATAAATAAATCTTTTAAAAAATGGCTCAAGAGGCCACACGGGAGTGCCTGACATGCATCAGTGCTCAAAGAATGGGCATTCTTTTAACGTCTCCCTGGAGAGCCCCCCAAAGAGTCCAGAGACCATTTTCTTACTGGTGGTTGACCCATCCAAGTACTTCCCATTAAAGCCCACAACATCCTTGCAAAGTAGATATTATTATTCCAATTTGAAGGTGAGGCCATACGAGGATAGGCCAGTGGTCCTCAATCTTGGTTGCACACGGATGGGTAGATCAACAAAACGTGATCCATCCATATGATAGGATAGTACTCAGCAGTAAAAAGGAAGGACATTCTGGTACCTGCTACACATACAAACCTCAAGCACAGGATGCTGTCCCATGAGTGGAAGAAGACAGACACAAAAGATCACATATTATAGGGTTCTATTTATACGAAATATCCAGAATAGGCAAATCCGTAACGACAGAGAGATTAGTGGTTGCCCCAGGCTGGAAGGAGCAACCACTTAATGGGTACAGGTTCTCCTTTAGCGGGGACGGAAATGTTTGGAACCAGACAGAGGCAGCAATTGCACAACATTGTGGATTGCACTCTGCCACAAAATTGTTCACTTAAAAATGGCAAATTTTGGGAGGCGCCTGGGTGGCTCAATCGGTTAGGGATCCGATTCTTGATCTCAGCTCAGGTCTTGATCTCAGCTCAGGTACTGATCTCAAGGTCGTGAGTTCAAACCCCGTGTTGGGTTCCATTCTCGGTGTGCAGCCTACTTTAAAATAAATAAAATAAAAAAATAAAATAAAATAAATAAAATAAAATAAAATAAATAAAATGAAATGAAATACATAAAATAAAATAAAATAAAACAAAATAAAATAAATAAAACAAAATAAAATAAATTAAATTAAATTAAAAAATTAAATAAAATAAATTAAATAAATTAAATAAATAAATAAATAAATAAAATGGCAAATTTTAATTGTCAATTTCACCTTAATTTTTTAATGCTAAGAAAAAAAATCACCTGGGAAGCTTTTAAACATGC